TTTTTTTTTTCACGTTTGTGCTTCTAACACTTTTACAGATCACTCACAAGTGAAAATTAGACTTAATCATGAATATTTTTTGGCACACAGTTGCGTTTTATTTCTTTGAAAAATCAGTCAAAACCTTAAAGTTTTGTTGAAAAAAACTAAGAAACAGAGTGCTAAATAACGGTACTGAACAGTGAGTGAATTCAGCCAAAGTAGTGTTTTGATAACACGAACAAAAACCCGCTATAAATTGTAACTGGCACTCCTGACCATGTAACCTTTCAGCAGCATTCTTGACGATAATGATACATTAAGAATGGCTTAAATTAAAGCTGCATCTAGGTAGTTCAAAAAAAGTGATTCAGCGTTTTTATTGAAACAAAAACATGAAAATAAATAAAATAAGAGAGACTAAACAATATTATAGAAATACGTGAAGGTTTTGTTTTGTTCTCTTTTTAAACAGATTCACTTGTCTGTAAGATTTCTGCAAAACTATCATATTCAAAGTGATGGGCAAAGATAAGGAATTTTTTCTTGGCTTTTTTTGAATAATAAGAGGAGCGTCTTTTTCGAATTTTTTGGGAATTACAATTGCAGCAAAGCATCTATAAATTTTTTTGCCAGAAATTATTGTCGCAATAAAAGTAGGTAAATTAAGAAAAATTTAAAAAGAAAAACAAATTTTTTGATGAAATCTTTGTAAAATTTTTAACAAATTAAGCTGACTGCTTGTTGTTAGTCAAAAACTAGACAAATCAACAAGCTCAGATGCTTGTAAAAGGAACTTAGTAAACAGTCAATAACTGATTACAAAGACATCAAGTTAAAGTTATTTGCACATGCCTAATTTGTGAGTCTAAAAAAAAGTTATCGCATTTAATGTTTTTAAGATTTTATTATTAAATAGCTCTTCATCAGACAAACAGAAAACTATTAAGATGACATGACCAAATAGACATCAAGCTTTCACGCCAAACAGTAACAGTATTTCAGAAGACCCGTAAAGCGAGAAGTTTGTCTGTATTTATAACAATCACATAGTGTAACTTGAAGTCAAAGTGAACATTCTTTTGAGATCAAATCTTAGAAATCTAAGATAATCTGTTGTGAAAAGAAGAAGAAAAGAATAATTTTTTAGCAAAAATTAATTGTTTTATGACCTGAAGTAGCTGATATTTGAACAAAATTCAACTAAGCTAGAATTTTTTTTTTACATTTTAATATTATTCATTTTTATGATGAGTACATGACCTCTAAAAATAATCAAGTCACACTTAACTGCTAATATTCCTCTGTAATCTCAATGAAAAAGTAAAACATAAAGTCATTCAAATAGCTTCCTTTTCTATTCTCCTATTTCAGCAAAAAGCGGTATTTTTTTTCATTATAGTTGTTTTTTTTTTTTGAAGTGTTCTATAAGTATTTCATACCCAGGTGTCTCATCAGATCAAAGAATAAATTTTCTATGCTTCAGAACAATCAAATTGGTTTATCATTACCGTCATTTGACAGAGTGAGCTGTATAAAGTTTGTAGCGTTTTCTGGTGAATAATTACAAAGATTTCTTGTCACTTCTTTTCTTTTGTCTGGTCGCCGTCTAATAAGCTCTAAAGCTTATTTAAAAGAACTTTTTTTGCTCTCTGTTGACCTGATAATTGATCAGAGAATTGTGTTCAAGGAAAAAGTTTTTGGCATTTTAATGAAAAAACTGTTCAAACGCAATCACTTATAGTTTCCAAAATTACTTCTCACATGTCAATAACCCTTGAATGTTTGAGTGGTTCAAAAATGTGCTAATGTATGCAATATCTTTACAGGAATACTTTGTCAAGTGTTTTAAGTGACGGTAAGCTTTTTTTATGTGCAAATCATCTCAACAGGGTTGTCAAAAAAAGTAAGTTGAAATTTTTTTGCATAATTGACATTGCAGCTGTATTGCAACTCCAAATAAATAATATGTATTTTTACTGCAAAAAATTGACTACTTTTAAAAGTAGAGTAAAAACACGTTAATAATGGTTCAATGAATTACACTTAAATAACAGTGAGAAAACGACGGCGTGACATTATGAAGCACTGATTAGTTCCAAGCGTTTTTTCTCGTTTTTGTCAGGTACCTAAATTAACTGTTTTAAACAAAAAAAAAAAATTTTTTTTTTTTGAAGTTTTATGCAAAATAAAAAAAATTGGTTATTTATCATTGTAATAATTTGCAGAAGAATAAGTTGGTTTTAAATGGTTACTTAATCGGTTGTTTCGAAGGCAGACAGCTGTTTAATGGACCATGCACGACGAGCAACACCGTCCATCAATGCAGATATGCAAATGTTTAGAACAACGAAGTCCAAAATCCGGGCAGTCATCGTCGCTTTCACAGGTTTTTCCTGGACGTAAACCAAGTGGGCAACTATTGGGTATGCCAGATCGACGCCAACAGGTAACGCTCGACACAGCAAAAGTTATAATGATAAGTAAGAAAATGTATTTCATTTCCTAAAATTACTGAATATTATAAGCACTGGAGGATTGATTTTTTCGTGTTCACTTTTCAAAATTGCTCACCAACAGATAATTGTGATAACTACAGTTGTATAGCATAGGGGAAAAAAAAAAGATTACTAGTAAATAAAGTTAAAAAATCTTATCAAGAAAAATGACAAGGTTATCTTTTAGCTGTTAAATAAAACCTATAAACCATATTGACAGTAACGTATTTCACTTATCGTTTCGTTCTTCTTTTTTTGTTTTTTGACAGAAATTAATAGGTAACAATGCATAGATGAAGACTGTTAAAAATTTTTGGTTTTCAGAAAACCATTGATGTCAGCCAGGCTTTATGTTTGGATGTACAGCCATCAAAATGATCATTTTATTTGGCTGTAAAGAGATGACTAATTCGGAGCTGTCTAACACACCCATGTTAAAAAAAAAAAAAAATACTAAAACAATATCATTTTTTTTTTTACTGTACATATCACTCTGAAAATAATGTAAAACAATGAGGAAGGCGGAGAGTGGTGAATTTTTCTGGAATTGCTGTATATATTGTTGTTCTTAAATTATGTATAGTTGCTGTAAGGTGGTACCATCAACAAAAACCATTAAAAAGGTCACATATAAATGATCTACAAAGTTGTTTTCTAAGCATTTATAAATGCCTAGATTGGCTGTGTGTGTATATGCAAGTCAGTTCTCGCTAATACAGGAGCAAAAATGCACCAGATTCTCATGCCATACAAACGTAGAAAAATTCTTTTTTTACTCTATTCTGCAGAGTGACAGTTTCAAACCATCAATCAGACTTTTTTTTAAAACAAAATCACCATTTATCAACGTTTCAATTATTTACCAAATACTGTGTATGTTTAAATTTTATTTTTGCTAAATTTACTTAAAGCAACAAGAAGCGATGAACAATTAATCGTAAATAAAAAAGCAGTTTTAGTTATAAGCATTAACAGTCAGAATAGAAGAAAAAAAAAACCAACAAAAACAGCCAAAAAAAAAAAAAAAAATTAATTGTCTAGATTCTTGGTGAAATCATTGAGTTTGTCATCACATCATTCTGTAATCTGTGAATATATTGTCAGTTTGATTAACCGATGACTGTTAATAAAATACTGGATTCCGATGAGTTCTGTTCACTTACTGCTTTTCTAAAGGCTTCTGTATAAAAGCGGTTGATTTTAATGTTCTTTTTGTTGTTGTTATTTATATTCACCGATCTTCAGATATCACAAACAACAAACTGTAAGTAATTTTAAAATTAGATGATTTATAACCAAAACTTTTTGACATCTATCAAAAGTTAAATTATAAGTTCTTTACACAGTGATCTGTTGACACTACGACTCTGCCAACGCTCATTTTAGAGGCGAGTTTTTTTAAAAAACGGTAAAATTATACCCAGTTATAAGCAGGCTTAAATCATTACTGTTTGATGAAAATAAACATATAGAAATGACAACTAAAATTTGAACCAAACATAAATCGATAGAAGTTACCTGTGAAAAAAGATGTTGTTTTTGAAAATTCTTTCTTTTGGCCAGCGTTGAAGTTATACAGCTATTTTAAGGCTTTAGGCGTTGTCGTCCGGGATGGATTCCATTCAAAGCAAACTGCTATCAGTTTGTCAGTTTTAGTTTTTTTTATTCTACAAATGCCACCAAATTAGTTCATTTAACAACAGTATAAAATTAAAAAACTGTTTCTTGTTAATTTATCATACACACTGACAGCAGTTATTCTTGTTTCAGTTCACTTTAAATGTATGAAACTGCAACAGACAGAGTATTTGAAACTGTTTCAGTAGCTGTTTAGTGAACTAGATACTTGCTTCAGACTGAAAATAAAGCAAATTTTATTCTAAAGAAGTTTTATGCTTACATAACTTTTAAATAAATGCATTTGAACCATTTAAAACTGACATAATTTTGTGAAACTTAACCACAAAATAAACCTGTTGCCTTTTTTCTCAGAAAACCGATGCTGTCTCATATTTGGAAGCCAAAAAAATATGCGAAAATGATGCAAGTCGGATGGTATATCTTGAGTCTAAAGAACAAGAAAACTTTATAACCGGTCAGATATGACTTAACATGGTTTTAAGTTGAAACAAAACAGTTTATTATTATATTTCTGTTAATCAGACTTTTTTTTAAATAAAATAACGAAGTTACCAACTTTTCATCCCCCAATCGACTCTATTTCTCATACAGTTTTACTCAGTCGTCATGCTTCTTCTTAAATTTCAAAAAATAAACCTAAATATTCTTACTTATTACTACTTTTACAAAGACAAATTACATCAACAATATTATATTAACTTTATGTGTGGTGAACATTTTGTATAAATAAAAAAAAAAAACGGGGTTTAAAGTGGTACTACTACAGTTCTAGCTGCTCATCGCAAAACTCAAACAAGTTATTTTTACTTTTTGTCTAAATAATTATTAACAACGCCCTATTTAATTTCTTTAATTCTAA